GTAAATAAGCTTCTACTATTTGCTTTCCATCCTGCTGTAGTAATTTGAATGTCCAGTTTGAATATTAATGAATTTTGGCTTTAGGAAAATTACTCTATTAAATGAACAAAAAAAAAGTGAAATCAATTAACTTGCATTTCTAAAAAAATAGAATGCTAGTAACGTTAGGTGAGAAAAAAATTATAAGATAATAACTTTAACATTAGAATCTTTCTTTAGTGTGGGTTAATAAATGATTATTTTTAAACTTTAACTGAAAATTAATAGTTACTTATTCTGAAGCTTTTTAAAGGCTAAATGTCATGATAATTCCCTTACCTCACAGCCATGATAATTCTAATCTAATTTTGTGATAATCTTAATGTCTGATTTTCCTTTATATAACATTTTAAGCTTTCGATATTTTTGTCCATTAGTTAGTTATAGAAGTTTAGATCACAGAATTACATAAGTTTTTACATGTAAAATATAATGATATATTTATCTCGATGAAGGGTGACATTGATACTAGTAAAGAAAGCATTTCGTTTTGTTTCTATTGGAGTGGCGAGCTCGGACTTTATGACCGAGAAAAGCTTGAAACCCGTTTTATGGCGTCAACCGTTCCTGCATTCTCAAAACTATTAACTAGACTATAAAACAAGAAACTCATTTTAAGCTGTAAAATGATAGAAACTCAATTCTTTTACAAAATCAATAAAGACATTTAAGCTGAATTATTGCGTGTAATATACGTAAAAAATGTGCCTATAGCTTCATGATGCAGCATAGCTTACAGCTCGGGATTGGGCAACTACTACAACTACTTATGTGCCGATTGGAATTTGCATATGTAACAATCAAGTACTAAAAAGGATTTTAGACAAAAATCGCAGAAATAAATTCATCTTTAAAGAAACATAGTAAAATGGTTTAAAGAAAATTAAATACTATCATCAAAATTTATTAATTTTTACAAATTGCACGGCAATCTTCAGTTTATCAATTCCAGCCTTAGAGACCTGTAGTAATTTCTTCAGGTTAATGATGCTAGAAATTGAGTAGCTGTATGCTATGAAATTTCAGTGTTGTTTCCCATGAGTTGGACCAGAGAACTTCGCTATTTTCATCGATTTCAAAATTAGGGGATTTCCTGGCTTGTTTTGGATTTCAAATTTTGCTATTTTTTTATCTGGAATTTCTCTTCGTTTATGATATAGCTTCGCAAAGTGGGCGTAATTGACTGTTGGCGATTTCTGTAGGCGCTGAAGGAGAATATGAATGTCCTGAGAAACAAATGGGTAATAAGAACATGCTTCGAAAATTTGGTTGCTTGAATCTTTTTGAAGTAATCACTTAAATATTCCCTTGATTAAGCAAATATTACTGTCACGCACAGTTGCGTGCCGTCAATGGGCTAAAGGGACTAAGCTAATCCCCTAGCATTTTATGCATTCACACTTTCAAGTTTATTTTTACCTAAAATTCCAAAGCATGAAAAGAAACATTATTTTGCCTTTTTTGAAACCTTGCGCTATTCGAGTGTAGTGGGATTTTCGCAAGAATGGAAGTCAGAAGGACTAGCTCGCTTTCACCTAAGTTGTTCCCATAGCTTCCATAAACATATTGTTAACTATTGGCATTTTCTTTTGATTAATATTAGCGAAACTAATTTCACTTTTAACACTACAGTTTAGTTTGTCTTTATAAAAGCGTTCTTATGGTACTTGAAGGAATTACAATATATATATATATATATATATATATATATAATAATATACTGGCCTTGAAGTTTAAATGTGTAAGCCGAGGTGGTACGAAAAACTAGTCATCACATAAGAGATCATTATGGAGCGCGTGCTAGCAGCCTTTGAACCCGTTTTATAACAACCCACTAATTAGCTTCCAGTATCACAAAGGTCTTCATATTTTTGAAATAATACATTTTCAAAAGCCAAAAAAAAAAAAAAAAAATAATAATAACAAAAGTTGGATCTACTATATATGTTTTCGTTTGCACAAGCAATGAAATAATATACCTGTCATTCCAAAGTGGAATTTTATATAATCTATTTTATATTAAGAAGTAATCTGTTTCGATGGATGATATCAGAACACATCAATTCCTTTGAACTCATCAGTCTTTAAATTATATTACTACTCTTCATATTAAGAAACAATAGCATGGTCATGACAACTACTGTTCTAAGATGACAACTTCTCAAAGTGATGGTATTTCTGAGAATATAAATAAACCCTAATGCTAAATTTCACCTCTCTAAGACTATCACAACCTCTGTTCTTGCGGTGATGTCCACTTTTAGTTTGATCCAGAAAGGAAAATAGTGGATTTTTATCCAAAATTTCTGCCCCCCCCCACGTGCAAGAAACACATATCCTATCAGCTGTGGCTTAACTGAATAGTTTCCTCTTCTTCAAAATATCCATACGCACAACTAGACATTTGGCGATAACTTGCTAAACTTGTCTTCTATAGAGCAGTCGAACAAAAGTGAAATACAATTTATATGAATTTAACCATGTTTAAAATTAATTATAATTTAAAATTAAAGAGGAAGATAAGAAGTAAGTTTTGCTCTACTCTTTCAAGCATGAAATTACCCGATAATGGTGAAATAAAATTCACATAGATTTGAAATTGATTAACAATAAAATGAAAATATACTGAAAACCTTTATTCAAAACTACTATCGGGCTGCGGCCAAAGAAATATGTATAAGTTCTTTGTGCACCTCAAAGAAAATGCTAAAAATAATTTCAATATAAACGAAATCAGTTCATTCTTTCAAAGCAGCAATCAATTCGTAAATAATTTTTTTTTTGTTACCAAACCAGAAAGCAAAAACTTTTCACACTTCAGGCTAATACGTATACGTACGAAGTCTTGATTTAAATTTAATGTAATATAACAACTTTTTCTACATACATATCAATAAAAATTATATCTATATAACATATCAATAAAAAATTCTATATAACATAGATATAATATAAATATTATATTCTTTTTCTATATAACATATCAATAAAAAATTAACTTTTCAATAACATATCGTGTTAATTATCCTAAAATGAAACAAAAAAGCATGGTCGTCTTAGAGGAAATTATAATTTTTGTTTCATACATAGCTTTCGATAAAAATCACTGCACGCCTCTAGTCAACGCATCTTAACTAGGTCACACCAAATTATAACAGTACATTTTCTATATAAGTTGGCTGAAAGTAGTTTCATTATCTACTCCAAGGCATTGTAAAGTGCAAAATACCAGTCTAAATACAAGTATGATAAAAACATTACCACAAATCCATATTTCAGTGGTAATTTCAGTGGTAAATCCATATTCCAGTAAGTAAGCTCAAGTCGCAGGAGTTTTTAGTGCAATCATTTTGGGTAATAATGCAAGAATCTATGTATGTCTTGCAAATTAATTACTATAACAACGTTTTCAGAAATCGCTAATTAATATCATTCGGTTTCCGTACTGCGTGATAAGTGTTAGCTGCTAATTTGATATAGTGCGAAAGATATATATTCCTAGAGCTTTCAGTTAATATATACACTTTACATTAAAAAAATTATCATCGTTGCAAGGGTAGTGGATGCTGGCCAAAATATCCATCGCAGGGGGCAGTGAGACCCCCCAAAAATGGGAAATTATGATTTAAGGAATTTAGCGGAGCCCCTGTATTTACCTACATGTCTGTCTCCACGAAGAATACTGATCGGTTTATTATATGTTTTGCAGCTGTTTCTAATATCTAGTTTCTGACACAACGTAAATAACTGGATTTTAGTAGCTCATCCGATTGTGGTCAAACCTCTGGCAATTAAAACATTGCATGTGACTTTATCTTGTGCAAATTTTAATTTTCACATGTAAATATAAGATTTTAACGCAGTCCCTGTAGTTACCTGCATGTCTGTCTCCACGAAAGATACATATTGGTTTTTTATATAATTTAGCAGGTATAATTCAGTTTCTCACACACTTAAATAACTGACTACTAAATAAAAACAAAAACATAGTACATAAATTCGTTTTTGCAAGAAAAAGATGTTTTAAACAAACTGCTGGAGGATACTAGATTAGACATTAAACAAACTGCCGGAGATTACTCTTGTATAGATTTGAAAACGGGAATCATCTTGTGTTTTTTTCTTGACATTCGAATTTTTCGAATCCTCTTTAAGCGTTTTAAAAATAAATAAATTCATAAAGGTTAGTTTTACTGTCTAGAATGGAAACATTGAGTACAAAGCGAAAGTGACTGCTGCAATTTCATTGGCTCACACAATTGATAAAATGACTCTAAAATATTCAAGAAATTTATATACTTCAGAAATATGTATCAAATTGAGACAATCCTGTGTACAGCACTGATTTAATATGCTACATAGAGTTCCATGTTTAATGTTTACATTAGTGTAGTGAATACGTTTATCATAAATTGATTTAGGGATTCGTATTATTGCGTGCCTACGGGTTCGTTACGAAATAAATGCACAAGTCCGATGAAAAATGAACAAAAGTTTATTATTATCACAATAAATATGATTAAATGTCCTCAAATAATCGTGCAGTATTACAATATATCACAGTAGTTATCTTCTAACTACTCAAACGTTCAAAAGAAATTAATTCAAAATAGCTAAAGAAAGCTAATCCGTGAATTCGTTACATTCAACAAGAGCAGTTTTCTAATCAACACCAAACTAAGTAACTACAACGAACTGAGAGGTTTTCCTCCTTTAATAAGATTTTAAAATCGCGTGCGAGAATTTTCTAGTACTTTCTCGAAATCAAAAAGATATATTTATTTATTTAATGTTAAATGAACGTGCTCTTGTATTTTTAATTTTCCGGCTTAGCTTCTTTTAATATTCGTCACGCACTGCACTGAGCGGGAAATGAAACCATTTAATTTACAATTGAACTAACATTAGCTTTTTAAATCCCAAATTCGTAACAGTATTTAGAGTTTTTGCATTAGTTCTTGAACCAACTCTCCTGGCTTTGATTTAAAATGATGGCTGAAAAATGTAAAATCCTGAATTGTAACTCAAATATTTTATATATACTTGTCAAATTATGTTGAAAAAATGAAAAGCTATAGATTCAAGCGTTTTAATTATGTAAGTTATTTACTCGTTTATATTCTCTTGATATGGTATACGATGTTAGAAATATCTTCTAATAGTTACTGATTTTATAATGACTATGTTGGAAATATTCGGAAAAATCATCAGTTGGATCTATTACAAATTAAATACAGGATAAATTATATCAATTAACTATATCTCTAAAGAATGAAATAAATGTATAAACTGTGTAAAAGCACTCAATTTCTTAAGAAAAACAGTTATAATTTCAAATATTAATATTTTGTGGAGCACCGAAGGACAACTTTCTAAAAGTTTGTAGATTTGATATTTTTGGAGCAAGAAACACTAGAAATTTAGCTATGCCATTCGAATTTCAGGTTTTAGAATACTAGCCTGATAAACTACCACTTACACCACGAAAGCTAGGGTGCTACTTTGGTAGACGGTTGCACGGATTTTAGCGATTTTTTAGCGATATTTCTTTTGGCGAGTAATACGACTTATGGTAAACCCATTGATTGATAAGTTATTTATGGTAACGATACTTTGTTGTCATTTTATTTAAAAAATAATGCGTTTTATTATGCATAAATTCCCTGTTTTAAATATTATTTATGGCTTCTAAATATTAAAAATCAATTAAATTTTGCATTTTTATTTGAAATAAAAATTTTATTGTTTATGATATTTTATGCAGTTTTATGTTGTGGATGATGTAATCAATGACGTCACCTAACTTTAAAAGTAATTAGTTTTAATATCTATAAATTTAAACTAATGTTTAAACATTATTTATGGCTGTTTAAATATTAAAATACAATTTAATTTTGCATTTTTTTAAAAAATTATTTTATTATGCATGATTATTTAAATAATTTTAATTCTAGGCGTGATGTAATCAGCTCTCTAATTGGTTATAGAATATTTGTGCATTAACGAGCTGTAATCAGCTCCCTGATTGGTTACTGAAAATTTGTGCATTACCGGTAATTTAAATTTTAAAATTTAATTCATATCTTCGAATTCCTTCCAAGATGAATGTTGTTATTGGTAAGTACCAATAATTATTGGTATTGGAATCAAAAAATTGTCCTTTGTACTTAAGGGAAGGGCGGTTAAAGGATCTTCGAAATCTTAAAAACAATATCTATTATTGTAGTTTTTTTTTTTTTTTCAAATTATTTTGTTATTTTTAATTTTCATTAATTTGGCTCTAAATTCCTCTATCTATCTATCTATCTATCTATCTCTATATATATTTAATTTGTTTATACTTGCCCTTGATATTACATTTTTCAAATTTTTTTCATTGATATCAAAATTATGATTCCGATTATTTTTGTGGTACTTATCAATAAACGACAGGTTAAATGACTCAAAAAAATGTAAGTACATATTTTTCTGTTATTTTATAATTGTATACTTCAATTTTTGTTAAAAAATTAATGCACTATTTTCAAAAATAGCTGAGATAATTATTGTCACATATGTTTTAATGTTAATTATATTCTATATAGCGTATTTTAAAGTATTTGAATTTAATAATATTATAATTCTTTTAAGTGTTGGTATGATGGTTTTTAATTCGATATTCAATTTCAGTAATATTTTAATCTAACTAAACGTTGGTACAATGTTTTTATAGCGGTGTTTTTATTCTCTTCTTTGCTATATGAAAGTAATAATAAGCTTACTTTAGTATTTTATACTAATAGTAAATGTATTTATTTACACTTGCCTGCCATCTTAAAAGACGACATTTTCAACAACAAAAAAACTAATCCATTACTTTTTAACGATATTTATTTTTTTTTAAGTTTCGAATACTTTACTATGTGTAAAAACAGCGTTTTCAAGATGGCTGAGGAATGTAAAAATCGCGCCAACAATTGCGCCAACGTAAATCGCCAAAAATCCGTGCAACCGTCTACCAAAGTAGTACCAAAGCCAGCATTGTGGAAAAGGAAATTCTTTATACACTGGTGTGCAAAAATTAAGGACGAAGTCGAAAAATTAGCATATCAGCTGAACGAAGAGGCAGAGCGGACAGAAAGACCAATCAGGAGATTAAGTAAGGTGATGTACGGTAGCACATGCGCAGATATGCAGGTAGACGTAATGGGGGAGTGTCTGAGTAGTATAAAGCATATTCTCGGTGTAAGATCAGTATTTCTGGCAAAGAGATTGCACGCCGTATAGCAGTTAAAATCACACCGAGTTGCTGCCTCAGCGAGAAATGGCGAATAATCAATCTGTTAGACGACATCTGGATGCTTTTACCCGAGGTCGAATCATTGGGAAGTTGGAGGAAGGCCGCAGTGTGACAAGTGTGGCTGCAGAGTTTGGAATTGCTCACAGCATCGTTTCACGACTTTGGAGACAATTTCAAACTACAGGAACAGTTATTCGGGGGTTTAGTAGAGGTCGTCCACGAGGAACCACACCCGCAGATGACCGGTATATTGCCTTACAGGCCAGAAGAAACAGGCGGCAGACAGCGGGAGAAATCGCTAGACACACGACACAGGCGACTGGACGACCGATATCGCGTTTTACCGTGGCCAGAAGACTGCACGGTGGTGGTTTGTTTGCACGACACGGACCTTAAAGTAGCGATTCTCATCGCATACTCATCTGGAGAGAGCGGGGAAGCCGCAATCATCCCTCGAACATCATTGAAAAGGACAGGTATGGAGGTGGCGGTGTTCTCGTTTGGGGAGGCATCATGCTTGGTAGTCGTCACATCTTCGACGCAGGTTCAGTCAACGGGACCCGTTATTGTAACGAGATTCTTCTTCCATATGTGCGTCTTTTTAGAGGCGCTATGGGTCCGCAGTTCCTTTTTATGGACGACAATGCACCATGTCATCGCACAGTAGCTGCCTTAGAGAGTGAGGATATTGAACGTATGGATTGGCCGGCACGATCTCCGGATCTCAATCCCATCGAGCATGTATGGGATTTTCTAGGAAGATGCTTGGCAGCTCGTACCTTACCACCAGTAACGATTCCGGAGCTTCGATTGGCGCTGCAAGACGAATGGGCAGCAATGCCTCAACAACTCATTGACACCCTCATTCTCAGCATGGGCAGACGCTGTGAAACCTGCCTAGCCGTCAGGGGAGATCATATCCCCCATTAAAGACCGAATGTTTCTTGCTGGACACCCATCACAGGGATGTTTCGGCCTTCAGCCGCATTGCGCTCCATGCTACTTTTTCAATAAAGCTTCTTTTTATCCCTATGATTTCTCTTTTAGTAAGTGTTGCTTACATTACTCATGTTCTTACGTATTGGGGATCTTACGGTATTAAATGTGTTGATTTGGAAAGCTTTTGTACGAAGTTATATTGAAAAAACCGTCTCGTCCTTAATTTTTGCACACCAGTGTATTTCTAGCCCCTTAAATGTCCCCTGATAAGGGAGGGGATTCAGTCACCGAAGTCAGATGGTGATGAATCATCGTCCATTTTATTATTATTATTTTTTTAGAGCTATTTATACATTTAGAATGGTTTGAATTAGAAATCGCTTGAAAGTTGCTACGTCATAGCCGAGACTCTTACTTCACATCATCCGACTGAGGCCAAATGTATTACAACTTAACTACAAAGGTATGCAGCGGGTAAAAGAGCAATTTATTACAAGTCATTACTTGCGCATCTGCTTGAAAGTTGATTACAAATTGTGTGAAAGGTGATTTACAAGCAAAGGCAACAAGTGTTAGGTCAGGCGGACGACATAATGAAGGTAGCATACATATAACAACATAAAGTAGATACGTACGAAATACAGCAGACGACATAAATTATGTAGCACGCTCGCTAGTATAAAACAAAGAGAGAATTTTGCAAATTTACATTGTAAACATTTCTTATTAAGATAATGTGTATTAATTGATAACACGCTGATACGCTTTATAAAATTGATTTTATTAACATTTATATTATTAAAATAATTAATGAATAATATGCAGTAACAGAATTTTACTGTGGCGCATTTGTACTTCGGTCATTATTACTGTCACTAAAGTCTGAAAAATCTTAATATTCTTTTCCTGACTTTTTACGTCGCAGACATTAAAACTCTTCTTCAGAAATTGTTTGTATTACTTCGTCACGTTTTAATGCCCGTAGTAATGCAGTAAAGAGTGTGCTAGGATTTATGTTGAACGCTACACATAAATTATCGCTATAAAACAAACTTTAAAGCAATAAAACGTGGAAAGGAAAAGTTTGGAAAGAAATAAACTTTATGTCGTAGACGACAAAATTGCCCTGAATCCTCCAATTTCCTGGAGTAGAAACTCGGAAACTCCCAAATTCATATCAAACCGAAAATTCCGGAAAAGCATTTCGAAGTACGATAACAGTAATCAAAACTCTAAACCGGAAGGGAAAAATGTCCGAATTGTAACTCAGAATTTGTTTCATTACTTTTTATTTCAGATAAAATCCTAAAGGAATTTATTGCTCGTTTCAGATAGGTACATATAGCCTAGAATTCTTTTAAAATAAGCTTTTGTTTGAGAAAATTTACTTTAAAAGTGGTAGCTAACACTATTGTTCCTAGAGAATAAGACATTTTAAAAGAAGTTTTAAAGTTTTTTTAATTCTAATGAATTCGATTGAAAGCAAATACAAGGCAGAATAAGAAGACAATAGACAGAAGTATCGTCTGTTGTGTAAGAAATGGCAGTACTTCTGCGTGTCGCTGTTAATTACTTCTTTAAGCCGAAGTAAGACTCTTTCTAATCTGTCAAGTGACAAACGCAGGTGAAAGTCGTCTTCTAATTTTGCCCGCCCTTGTTCTTTCTCTGAATAAACCCCAAATTGATGAGTTTTCGTGAGAGAGAATTTTTACTTCATTAAGTTGCTGCCAAATGCAGTTATAAAAGAATAATTCCGTGTTTCGCGAATTGAAGTGAGTTTATTTAAAACTCTTACTTATATTCTTTTAATTAAGAATTTTCAATTATTCAAAAATTTGGTAAAAATTTTTAATAAATAATTAAACATGTACATATATAT